CCTTCTCACTCTTCTCTCTATTCTCTCACTTCCTTTCTCAAAAATACCTCTCCTGAACTCCAAACTACCTTCAAATCTAAGCCTAGACTTCTATTCTACTCGACCTCAAGTAAGTTGTTCACAGCTTAGTTCTCTAATCTTGTTTTTATTTCTCCATTTTTCTCCTACCTCAAAAGTGCTATGTTTCATAACATATAGGAAGAACTTGATCTTTTGGACAATATCTTCCACAAACCTTCTCATAAAAGTAAGGAGAGCTTTATCCCACCATTAAAACGTTGAATATAACTGTGCTCATGAAAGTGTAATATTGTATTTATTTATCTCATAAATATATGTTTAGATTGAAGTTTTGTTGTTTGTTAAAATTGGTGATGCATGTTTGGTTGATATAGAATGACTGAAACATATTTTCCTTAAAATATTTGATTTGGACTAAGTCCAGATGTGCTTGACCTTAGGCACAATTTATTTAGCTGAGTGGTAAGAAATGGATAAAGAAAAGTGTATTATAAGTGATGGTGATGAAAGAAATTAGTATAAATAGTTGTAGAGATACACTAGGGGTATAGAGTTTAGAGACGATTTGAAAAATCTGGAAAAATGAAGGTCGTAAATGGGAAAAAGATCCCCTCCTGCTACATGAGGATCATGTTCCGTGTTTTTGTATTTTCGCTTAAGCGAAAATGCAAAAATACGAGAACATGACCCTCATGTTCGCGTGCAAACAGGATAGGATCCCGATCCTGGTAAATGTTATTCATTGTGATTATGAATAAACTAATTAGAGAGAAAGCATCATAGGCCTCATACTCATTTCTTGACTAAACTCATGACTATACTTTTGCTAAAGGGTCTGTTATTATGTATGTTTTATCTGTGTGCATGGGCTAACCAACCACCATTTAACTATGTATTTAGAGAATGACAAAGAGTTTGTCACTATAGATTTATAATAACTAGTGAAAATGGATCTGGTGAGGTAAGTATAGTAGAATTCACCAGATGTTATAATGTTCTTTTTAATTACCCTATTAATGGTGGAGTACATCACACTTTATATTTGTATGTATATAAAGGAGACAGTTCAGATGCCTGAAGCTATAAATTATGTGTACACCTTTCACGACCATGATCAAATGAAAGGCTGATCACTTTTACCTAAAAGCATATTACTGGTATAGAAGTCATTGCAGATTCTAGAAAGTTCTCATTAAAATTTAGTATATTTGATTTTGTAATTATGTAAATGAAATCTTAATTTTTTTATTTTTATTATTATTATTATTATTATTATTATTATTATTATTATTATTATTATTATTATTATTATTATTATCTGTAAATATTAAACTTTTGTACTTGAATGAAAGGTAATCTATGTATATTATTTTTTTACTAATCAAGTGTAAATTTAATTATTAAAGTTATAATAAGTGGTAAATATTTATCTCATCTTTCTTTTGGTATCTTGATATTTTCACAATTTGAATAAATAAAGTGTATTATCATATTTTTATAAAAAATTTTAGCGCAATAAATGTAAAGAAATTCACATTATTTTATATTTTTAATATAAATTATCATATAAATTAAAATTATAAGTAAGACTTTACAATTAACATAGAAACTGTATGGTAATATTAACATAAATCTTTGTTAAACTTATATAAAAATAGAAAAAATATTATAATAAATTCATTCATATATTTATTATAATTAGACATGACTATATTTTTATAATTAATTTAAATAAATAAATTTAGAAAATATGATAATACGCTTATTTTTTGTAAAATTTTTTATTAAATATAATTCATATTCAAATAATTGTTTCCATTTTTGACATTCGTGTAATGTAAATTTTTTATATATAGCAATTCTAATAAAAAATTTTAAATACAACTTAAAAGTAATAATTATGCATTAATTATAATTTAAATTCTTAAGTTAAGTAAAACTATGTAAAGAATTTCAATAATTAATTATAAATTTTATTATAAACACATATTATATATGCATATATAAGTGTATATATATATATATAATTTATTTAAATAAATAAATATTTTTAAAAATATAACAATATGGTTAGCTTAAAATTCCTTCACAATATTATATATAAATAATTCAAGTTGAAATTTTACACAAATTCTCTATTATTTTTAATTCAAACAATATATAATTGTTTTATATTGTCACTTTTATTTTATTTCTCCTACAGTAATTTAATCAAAATCTAAATATTTTTAATAAATAGTTGTACTTAATTATAAAAAAATATCATAATTATTATAAAAAAAAATTAAAATTTAATAATTTTAATTTATTATTATTTATATTTAATTTATTATTAATAGGTCTAAAATCTCTTAAAAAATATATAAATATATTTATGACATAAGATTTATTATTTTTCTTAATTATTTTTAAAATTTATTTATAAATTTTTGCTTTATACATTTTAAAATATGAACATATATAATATTCTAACATTATGATTTAATTATATAATCTAAATTTATACTATTTTAGGTTAGATTAATTAATAAAATATTGATATATTTGGTATAATTTAATTATATATATATATATATATATAATACCACTTAAAAATAATGTAATTTTTTTACTCAATAAATTAAGATAAAATACTGTAATATAATTTACTAAAATAGAATAAAATACATAAAAGAATTATATGTACTTAATTAGATAGTATGTAGAGAATTTTTGTAATTAATCATAAATTTTATTATAAATACATATTATATATATATATATATATATATATATTATTTAATAATATAGTTAGCTTAAAATTCATTAACAATGTTAGATATAAATATTGCAACATTGACATTTAAAACTTTAGATAAATTCTCTTCTACTATTCATTCAAATAAAGTAATATAACTGTTTCATACTGTTACTTATTTTATTTCTCCTAGAATTACCCAAAATCAAAATATTCTTTGATAAATAATTGTGCTTAATTAAAAAATATATTGTAACTGTTACAAAAATAATTAAAATTTATTTAATTTTAATTTTCAATTATTTATATTTATTTGTTATTAATGTCTAAAATCTCTTAAAGAAATATATAAATACATTTATGACATGAGATTTTATTATTTTTTCAATTATTTTTAAAATTTATCTATAAATATTTTTCTTATAAATTTTAAAATATAAACATATATATGATATGTCAATTTCAGGACTTAATTATATATAATCTAAAATTACTATTTTACGTTGAATTAGTTAATAAAACATGGATAGATTTTGTATAATTCAATCAGATAAAAAGATATAATACATAATAATATTTAAAAATAATACAATTTTCTGTTTATTCAATAAATTAAAATAAAATATTTTTATATAATTTATTAAAATAAAATAAAAAATATTTACATACAAAATTTACATACTTATTTATATAAATAATTCTTAAAAATTGACATGACTATAAAATTAAAAAAAATTAAAAAAGAAAGAACTATAACAAATTATTAAAAGTTGTTTAAAATTTATATAGGTAGAGATGAAGACTTATTTAATAATATATCAAAAGATAAAAAGAAATGTAATAAAAGTTGTCTTTTTATCTTAATTATATTTTATTTATTTATATTAAAAAATTATTTAATAAAATACAATATAAAAATTAATTTTATATGTATGTATAATTTTTTATTTTAAATATATTTTAATTTTTAATGTACATTTTAAATATAGAATATATTAAATTAACAAATGAGACTATTTAAATCATTATCATTTAAATTTGAATAGAATGTCATGTAAAATTTTATTTTCAATAAAATGACAACTCAAAAGTTTCATTTAATTTCTACGAAGTTATTTTTATACAATTTTAATAAATACTTTTTCTTGGTTTTAACATTTTATGATGAATTTTTTTTATTTTTCATATATTATTAATTTCAATAAATTTTTATTAAATGTAATTTATATCTAATTTATTGTTTTCATTTTTAACATTGTATAACCTTTTAATGTAAAATTTTTATATATAATTATTATAATAAAATTTTCTTAATACAATTCTAAAGTAATAATTACAATTTAATTATAATTTAAATTCTTAAATGATGTAAAATATTAAAATTAATTTTAATAAAATTTTATTAAATATAATTCATAATATATTTATAATTTTTGTTGTTAATACGCACAAACACACGTCTTAACCATCCATATCACTAAAGTTTTATATAATATTTCTTTTTTAATATTAGAATATTTATACTATTAACATTACACGACTCTAAACATTTTAATTTTAATAATTATAAAAATATAATTATAAATATATAATAATAAATAAGTGTAATTAATTTCACATATAGACGTAAATTTAAGTATTCTAAATCCTAATAATAATAAATTTAATTATAAATACATTTAACAATAAGTATAATTAATTTTACATATAGATAATAAATATAAGTAGATTCAAAAATGCCTTTCAGACTTAAATACGCTATTTTGGAATCTAATAATTTAAAGCCCGTTTAATTTATAGATAGAATATTTCAAAAATAAGAATTTCGTTTGAAAATGCATTATTCATGTAAAGTATAAAACTAGAAGTCAGTTATATTTACGAGAGAACCAATATACAATTTGTTAAATGTTTGTGTTCCTTGATAAAACAGTATATTTTGTGCCTTAGTTTTATCATTAAAAATAATATACATTCTTGTTGGAAAACAATGCCACAAATTCGAAAGAAAACTATTAATTTAAATCAATAAAAGGATTAAAAAAGGGAAAGCTTTTTAGAAAATTAATTTAAAATCTTAAAAAAATTTGATAGAAAACCTAAAGTGATTTGAAGTGACATTTGAATAACAAAACCGTACACGTTTAAAGTGATTTAAACATTTTTGGTACGTTGTAAATTAATTTAATTTGATAATAATTTTAACTGAGTTAATTAAAACCAAATCAAATCAAACTAATTCAAATAAAATAATTGAAATATAACCTATGTTCCAAAATGATATAATTTGACAAAAATTGCACTTCAATTAGATAGTGCTCAAAATATGTAATTTACACGATATGATACAAGGCACGTCCTTTAACACCAATTGGTGATATTGCCACATTCAGGATTCTGAAAGCAACATCTTGACCTTCCCTACTGATGAGAAAACAGGTCACAGCCATTCTAAATAAATATATGCCTCTGCAGGTTCAGTGTGCTCAGTCCCAACAAAATGACACCAGATCGAATATTTAGGTTAGAGCTTACGTAATAAATCCAAATAATACCTTCAACAAGATTTTAGCTAGGCATTGAGTTCAGTTTAACTTTCACTTCATCATAGCAAGCCTGAAGATCCCTGAACTCTTCTGTATCGGAGAAGCTCTGAGCCTGAGAATACAAGTAATGTAATGGTTTATAAAATCTTTTACAGGATGAGCAAAACAAGCTAACAAGATATTTAAACAAGATATATTTAAATCCTCCTACCCTTCATCCCTATAAATCTTCCTAATTATTAAATAAAGAAAGTATTAATGTGTTTTATATTTTCAAGATAATAAATACATGCACATTTTCAATTTTTCATCTAATACCTACTTTATAAAGTTGGAGGATAAGAAGATATAGCAAAACCCATTTTACAATAATTATCTTGCCTGTCTGACGACATTCTTCAAGTGCATCTCAGCCGTAAACAATTGTTTAATACTACCAGTGGATGAGGAAATTTCCACATACACCTGGCAAAGTTCCAAAGATGCTTTTGCAAACTTTTTGAAACGATCTCGGTCATTCCACGTATCAGATCCCTGAAAGAATACAATTGCACATATGTAAAATGAAAAACAACTGCGATCGAAAGAAGTTCCATTAAACATGGGAGGCAGGGACCATTGCTCTTGATAATCAAAAGATAAAATCATTGATGTGCTCCCAATGTTGTTAAAACTCTACTGCAGAAAACCCCACCTCAATAAACAAAAACACTACGTGTAATGCACAATTTCCAAATATTATGGTTGTAGAAATGTAACTGCAGTGCACAGATCTTGGATATGGAACATAGGTTTACTAGCCTCACTCTTGTTTGGTATAGCACATAATTCAATTAACACCAATATTTATTATTATATTCTATTTCTAAAATAAAATGTCCAAAAATTAATGATGAAAGAAACATTGTATGACGCAACAGAAAGATTAAGATAAAAACAAATGCTACATATTATATTATATATACCATTTTTAAGATAAAGATATCTAAGAAGTGCTGGACTTTGAGACATACCTGGAGTGACCTAACTTGCTTTAAGAGGGCTTCAGAACACATCATGAGATCTCCATTAATTCTGTGCCATTTGGCATATAAGCCCCAGACATCAGGTCCGCATCCACTCCCACTCTTAACTATCTGTATCACAGTATTAAATGTTAACCTGGACATCTGTAACTTGCATATCTTTAGCCAGCAAAACCTATATTTAACTTGCAGAGCAAACACATCATTGAATTACACTGTCAGTCTGTCACTGGCATCTGACAGTTTGATCCTATTTACAATTAAGCACAGAAACCGCTTTAGCCACATTACTGGAGGAATGGGAACTGTTCATAAATCACTTCATTTAAGTAGAAGGCATATAAAAAAAAAAAGAATCTTGAAAGTACCTGTTGTAAAACTTTTCCAAGTAACAACAATAATTGTTCAGTTTCACGTGATGTTCCTACAAGAGATGCTCCAGATAATTGCTGTTGATTTTCTGATCCAGAAACGGAGACTTGATCTGTTTCAGGATTATTATTAGTTGTCAAAGGAGACAAATTACTTGTTCGAAGCCGATTTTCCACCTCCCTTGTGATTCTTTCTAATAATTCAGTATCTACTCTCTTATTATCTGTCATGTCCAAAACCATTCGGATACCTTCCAGGGCCTAAAAGAGTTTATCAAACTAGATGAGCAAAAAATGAACCAAAATATGTGATGCCTTTACTAAATTGTAATACACCAAACTTGAATTTTATTTCATGTTAGATAAATTAATTGCTGAATTGTGGCCTTCAAAATTTATTTTATTTTCCATTATATGTCAACATTATGGGGCACAGCTTATTTAAGCTTAACTTATCATGTAATCAGTTGAAGGTGTTTGGCTAAGATTGTGAAAGTGGCTTATGAGTAATGACCATTCCATAAGCTGTTTTTAGCTTATTTTGATAGGTTTCAAGCTTATCAAAATAAGATAAAAAGAACTAATAGAGGGTCATAAACCATTATGATAAGCTTCAATAAGCTTACCAAATTTAAGTGCTTAATTAAGCACCCAATATCATGCTTGTATGACCTATGTAAATGAAGCCAGTATTTTACAATACAATTAGACTGGAATTTAAAACTGAGTATATATTTGTAATATTTTAAATTATTTTCATTTCAAGGTCTAAGTACTAAAGGAAAGAATCAATATTTTCATAAATGAGGCTACATAAAACGAGTTTATTTCAATTTTATAATTTGAAGTAGCTGAGTTTCCGTAAACTCAGCTAGCGACCTCCACACGCTGAATGTTGTCATCATGTAAACTCATTTTTTCTAGGTATTAAAAAAACATCAATAAATCATTTTCTGCAATGAAACTCAATTTTTGCTTAAGTTGAAGTTCCAAACAGGCCTAGTATTTAAAGTTTACTGTGCAACAATAAGCAAAGCTACAAATGGCTAAATTGCTAAAGATTCAATACATACTGTATATCACTCCACTTTTTGCATTAACAATTGTTCACCACACTTATTTATGGATTGAAGTATATTATAATAAATGTGGACTCGATCAAAATTAGAACTCAGGCTTGCTTCATAAGTGTTCAGTTCTATTTATTGTCTCATTTCATTGGTTGGGTATCTTGGATACAAGACAGGATCACCGGGTGAGTTAGGAGCAGTGCAGTTGTCCTAAGATGAAGCAGGTTTGGATCTAGAAAATTCGGTGTCTAAGAAGTAAGAGCATTGCTCTAGCAGTCTAGCTAGCATTTGGCTTGGGCATTTTCCTCTGAAACTTTACACTCTTGGGCATTAACCCCTATTGTTTAGATCCAAATACTGGATACCAAACTTTCCCTTAAATCGTTGGAAATTTATCTTTCAAGGTTATTCTACTGCCTCTAATTCGTTGCTTTCCCTCAAGGTATGGAAGGACCTGTGGGTAAGTGATACAGCCATTGGAGGTGAATCAAGCGAGCCTTTAGTGCATGAGGCAACCATGGACGATGGGGTCGTGTTTACGTGAGGAAAAGGCATTAGAAGGGTGATTGGGTCATGATTGTTAGTTAAGGGGTATTTTGGGGCGTGGAGTGAGATATTTTGTCTTTTTTATCTTTACAGTTATTTAGTATCAGATTGAAGAGAGAAGGGGGATCATTCTGTTTTTTATTATCATCATTTCGGTAGAGGAGACCTCTCTTGTGAGGTGACTCTAAGGAGCTTGGCTCTAGGCAGATTGGGTACCCATTCCCATCTGTTTTTCTTTGTTTTTGTTATCTTTCTCAATTCAGTCAGGGTTCCCTGTTTCATTCAGTATATATATTATACTCTGTTTTTTGGTTTGCATCAGTAAGGGAACTTCCCTTTCATGCCTTTTGACTCTCCTTGACTCTGAGTCTATAGACACATTTCTCACCTAGATAATAGCATTTGGTCCCTTGATTCTTTAAGCACATACAATTCATCACTTATTTCTTGAATAGAAATTCTTGTCTGCATGAAAAATTACTAAGTAGAAATCCAAAGCTCCTTCTAAAGTCAAGTCTGGAGTGCCGTACTTAATTTAATTAATACTAATGACATATTTTCCTTCACCTGATATGTTTGTAACTAAAATCAGTTCTTCACCTGTTCTAACAGAGTACTGCTGCGGTTTCCTTATAACACTCCTTCAGCATTTTTGGTGAATGTTAAGCTTTCCTGATTTTGGTGTTAAAGGCCAAATTTACAGTGTATGCTACAATTTGGTGCATTTGGTTAACTCTAGTTTTTAAGGAGGTTTCTTTTGTACATCGCTAGATTTAGAATATCAGTAGGCATTTGGCACCTATTAGACATAAACCTCATCGCTTTTCACATGGAGCTTCAATAACAGGTATATTAAGGAATTGAGAAGCTTCGTTACATTGCTTTTATCCTTTTCCTTGGTTGTTTTGTTTTGTTCCTTGTTGGAAGAATTCTTATTTTTATTTCTTTGTAACTTAGCACCCATTGTCTCAATATACATATATGCTCGTGTATATATATATATATATATATATATATATAAAAGTTAAATGAAAGGCTTAGATTGAGTGTAAGAGTTTTTAGAATTAGGAGATCTTCCTAAAAATTACTTAACCAAAAAACACTTTTTCTATACAAAAATAACTTCTCAATTTCCTTAATGGTTTGGAAAAGATTCTTTTAAAAAATCAGAATCTGTAAAAGAGAAATATGTTTTTCCTTTGGTTGAGAAGCTGATAGGTAGCTTTTATAAAACTACTAAAGAAATTATTTTCTTCACAATCTTAAAAATCATTTTTTAAAAGCTTAAATAAAGGGTAAGGGCCTTTCTCCAAACCAATATTAAATACCTAATACCAGTAATCATGTAGCGGAATTTTCTCAAGTGTAAAGAACATTCCGGCTATGTTTGGGTATCAACTGATAACCATTGCTTGAAGTTTGAAAAATAAGTAAGCTCAATCACATACCCATAAATAAGGGCTGCAGATTGGATGGAAAGGACCATTCCATTAGGTTCTGTTCCAAGTTTAAACAATCCAACCAATGGCAATTAATGTCATTCCATTCCATTCCCCTCCAATCCATCGCTTTCCATCAATCCAAACAAAACCTAGGGATGACGGACGGGATATAAGAGAATGGAACTGCACAGAAAATACACTCATTGTTCATTCTACTCCTTCAAGTCACATAGAAGACCCATGTCTATATGTACAGTATACTGACTATTTTGACCAACAAAAAAAATAAGAAAACCAAAAACAGCTGATACCTGACTAATATTGCCAACGTCAACAGCAACATGGCTGTAGTTCTCCCATAGTTGCCAGCTGTTTCGCCTGTCACCAAATGTCCTTGTGTTACTATTTATTCTAATCAATGAAATTTGCAATACATATACTGTATGTATGAATGCATTTATGCGCACAAGCATATGCCCCTATTTCTGATGCAAACTTGCAAAGGATGTTTCATGAGAGGGTTAATTACGATACTTGAATTTCAAGCTTTGTTTTCTTGAAATGATTATGTATGTGTGCATCTATGCATAAGCATAAGCCTGTATTTATGACAAAAAGGAAGTTTAATAAAAGGGATAAATACGAAACTTGAATTTCAAGGCTTCTTTAAATGAAATGAATGCCTCCTTGCTCTTTTTCTTGATCATATGCCTGCATGTTAGGTAAAAACATAATAATTAAAAGTTAAATCCAAAATTCAATAACCCATAATGACTTATCTTTATTATTGTTACTATTAATTATTATGGACTGGAAGTCTGGATATAGTTTATATTAATTGTGCTTTCAACTGTGATACCATAATAAAAAGGTAAGCTTGCAAAATGAATAATTAGAATGTCAAACCCTTAAGTAACGACAATTTAAATCCATTTCGTATAAAGCTATGAACTATGAAGGTACTTTTGTAGCCCAGAGGAGACACCTCAATTGTTAAGCAACAACTAATATAAGCTGGAGATGTCAAATTAAAACCTAACATGCATTGGATCGGGTGATATTTTAGGGGGGTGACTTTATGCTTATTATGTAGCCCAACTTCAGACACACTCCAAAGAAAAGAAGTTAATACACTGTAAAAGACCAAGCTGTTTCCTATTTTTTAATACAACAAGAAAGAACTCCATACAGGCAAGCAATGTTATTCCAAGCTTCCCCATTTTCAGGATCAAGTTGAACAGCACGAGTAAATGCATCCAGAGCCTTTTGAATATCACGAGCCTGTAAAATTTTCCCCGTTAGTTTGAAGTACTTAAGAAAACAAAAATGTGAAATACAGAGGGACAAGTCTACATTAGCTATAGTAGAACTGGGTATTGGAAATTCAGTGTCCATCAAACCAAACAATCAGGTGATGCCAGATATAAATGCTTACAGAAGTGTACACAGCTGCTCAGCTGCACAGGTGGTAATCTAAGCACAATTCCAGAAGTGGGTCCAAGAAATTAATTATCTGAACTTCGAACCTTTACCTATAAACACTCATGCATATGCCTGTTCAATTCACCGAAGCTGGCCTAATACTAATAGATCATTGCCATGTTGTAAAGAGCACCAATACATTTAGTCATTGGTATTCAGACTTTCCTTACAAGGTGAATTTGCACCCTTTTATTGGATAAAATATTTGTATATTTTATTGCAAATCTAATGATGGAAAAAGCAAATAAATAATAAGCAAGCATGGTGGACATCACACAATCACCTTCAAAGCAGTAGCCCCAAGTGCAAACCAACCATCTGGATACAATGAGTTCATTGACATTGCAGACTCCCTGAATTTAACATATCAAACCAAATAACAATATTACAATTAAAACACCAAAAGTTATATCTGCAATAATGGCAAAGACAATGATGATAAAAGTGAAATGATTCAGGCATGTGGACACATCACACACCACAAAATTTTAGATGTCTCATAGTCTCCTTTGTTGTATGCACTGCGAGCCAGAGAACGCTGTTAAATGGAGAAAAACAAATCAATTAAGAAGAATGTATGTTTTATAATTTTGTAATATGATAGAAGGAAGTTGCACAGAGATATGCATGCAGACATACAAGCATGAATATATACACAGGCATACCTTCGCTCTAGCAGACTTATTGTTGGAAACTTCCAGTGCTTTTTCATAGCATGCATCGTTAGTGGTAGTGTCACCCAGAGAGCACCTAGAAAACTTTTAGCATGAATTAAATAGATTATGCAAAATAATTTTCTCTAATCTTGCTATTTCATTTTTCACATCAGATATATAGTAAGTTGCACTTCTTCGGTCATGCCTGGTTCTTGACTGAAAGTCTAAGTCAACGGAAAAAATAAAATAAGATAACAAGAATTGCTGCCAGTGAAAATTTTTAGGCTTAACAAAAAGGACAGGAAGTACATAATCCAAGTCTGTACTCTTCAAAAATACATATTATGAAATTTGCAAAACTGTACTCCTTCAAAAATCCATAGTTATGAAGTTTGCAAAAGATTATAGGCAGTCTTCAACTAGAACACCAAAGATTCTGCCACAAATAAATGGCTTGAAAATTGTACATATAATCCAAACTACTGATTGAAGTTAAAGCCATATTTCCATTGATATTAGCACACAAAAACTAGAATATAAATCCTTTTCTTACATCCCATATTCTTAATTCAATCAGTATCAATACTCTGGGGGAATACGACATGGAGGAAGCAATGGTAGGTCTCTAGGTTATGATTTTCTTCTTGAAAATAACATTTTATATTCTCTTCATAGAATCCTACTTCAAGAATCCAACATCATTCAAAAGGTTTTGCGATTGATGCCAAAGACCTGATTTTGTGGGAAGAATATTTTACTAAACATAACAGCAATGCCGATGTTTCTCTCAGTTATGGCAGTTATTTCAATCCTCAAGCAATTCCATTAGAACAAGTGTAAGTATGTGTTTTTAGAAATAAAATGTGATCAATTCCAGAAAACCTCAAACTAGTAAAGGATTTCGCAATCAAATGACCAAGGAAAAAATATAATCAGTAAGTTATTTCAAGCTTACAAGGAACCATATCCAGACAAGAGTATGGAATCTGGTGTTTCTAAATCTTTTCAACTCTTGCTCACTCTCCTAACCATAATTGTTCCCATTTGACAAATCCATATGGGATTCCACAACTCCTTCCAAGATTACCAAATCTTTGGTTTGGACAACAGTACTCAATAGAATATAAAGAAAATGACACATTGCTTCATAGGTACTGCATTGCTCTGTCTCACAATTTATACTACAATTTATTTTTAAAAACTAAAAACTGTTTTTAAAAACTAAATCAAACATACTCTTAATACATTTCTTTCCTATTTTGTGTCCTATTTTGTTTTATCTTCGGGTAACTTACAGGTTTCCCGTGTTTTATCGAAGTTTTACTTCACCACTGGTGGTTTGAAAATGGCACTTGGTCCATTTGCACCTTAGTTAACACACAACCACTTGCAAGTTCTGTCAATATTATTCATTACTATCATGAATTCAACTTTGTTTTCATACACATTACATCTCATTTATAACAACTTTGAACACTTCATAAAGATTTACATGTGGGATTCAAATTTGAGCAACAGTTTTGGCACTTTCATATATACGTAACTATCAACCATAGTTGCAGAGCTGAATTTACAACCTAATATCGGTCTCATTATTTGTCCATTTTACACATTATTTCATAAGCATATAAACCTTATTTCATGGAAAACAAATACATATATATCTATACAATTTGATTAAAGAGATCATGGGATTTTGGACTTAAAGTTGGTGTCATGAACATGAATCTTGAAATCTAAAACTGATGGATTGAAAATTTACTTCAGATTTGAACTTCATTAGTTAGTCTTATAAAGAACATTCTGATAGGAACTGAGTGTATTTAGGAAATTAACACAGAATCCTCAGGGAATTCCCTGATAGTACAAACAGAGAATGAAATAACAGAACCAATTAACAATGACAAAATGGAACCTTTCCTATGGCAGCAGCCACACCCAATGACCTCCCAGATAATTCCTCCCTTCTCTCCTCTGATCAATCTACCTTATATCTCTCCCTCAGCCCCCTCCCACCCCCCCCCCCTCCTCCACGTCATTCAATTTGTTATTCTGTTAGAATCTTCCCTAACAGCCTCCCTTTTTACCCCTCCTTCTCTGGTATGTTTTAGTAGAGGCCCAATTGGCCTAGACCCAACACATTCACAGCATACACCACTTGTAACATTACCAACTTTAACTGTATTACCAATGAACATGATAAAAAAATATATCATCATAGAAGAATCAGATAAAAACGTAGTGGAACAGTAGTAAATGTAAGATATTTTTATAGAAAATAATAAATACTAAAATGATAAAAGATTTGGATAGCCTATCCTCCTCATGTTTATTAGTTGTTATCCCTAAACATACTCAGCAAGAAATCATTCACAAGTACATCAACTCAAGAATGGATTGTAACAATGAAACTAGCCGGAGAAATAAGTCAGACTAGCTGTTGTTTTTAAAAAGTACTCACGACTTGATTAAGAAACAAAATAAGAGTAGCCAAGTAACATACCATAACCTGGGGTCATTTGGTCTCTCTGAAAGACATTTCCTGATGAGTTCAACAGCTGTTGCTTTCTTCTCCAACAAACTGTTTTACCAATCAAACGTCAAAGGTAGAGTAAATAATAAGAGGGAAAATTTGATTTGGTTTATTCATTTTAGATGTTATTATACCTGTAGCAGTATATAAGATTGTCCCATAATTCTAAATCTTCAAACTCCTTCACTGCCTCCCCTATCAAACCGCACCGCACCAAAAGTAACCCATATTCCCTGGAATTGGAAGGAAAAAAGTGATAAGAGAGTCAGAGTCATCTGATTTTGTGAACCTAAAACACAAAAAGACTTGAATTCTTGTACATCTTTTTTTTTTGGGGTGTGGAGGGGGGATCCAATATTGTTATGGTCTCTATAATCTACAGAGTAAAAGTTTTTACTTTCTTAATGCAGGAATACTAGGCATATAAACAGCATAACTAAAAGCAATTCTTTCTGCCATCGGTGGAGAAGATTCGTAAATCCGTTTAACCTGCAAAAAAAAGAAAGAAGTATATTTTTATCATACACAATAAAGAAATCAAACAACTCATATGTTGCAGCTAGATTTAAAAACAAAATAAACTGTATAGTTTTAAGGATATAGAAAAACTGCAATGTATAATTTGATATTGAAGTAATTGTAAATATGGATGCATTGATTATGGAATTGCTTAAGGAAGATTCCTCAGCCACTGCGACATTATATATTATAATCAAGTAGTTAAATCGGGATTCAAGTTGTGAATCGTAAGACCTATTTTTTGAATCGTGAATCGAATCATATCTTGAATCGATTCAAGATCAATAATTTAAAACATAAAAATATAAATATAAGAATATTGTAACGTAAAAAAAATCAAAACATCTAATATCTTAACATTTTGAAGTCATATAATATGTACCTACAAAAAGAGAAGGAGAAAACAAACAAAATATAGAAATTGTTGCAATGGCAAAGGGGACCACCAAACATCTTGAATACCAGAAATCTTGAAAAGGAAAGCAGTGAACAGATGCCGAAAAATCTGATTTTTCAAGTGAACAGAAAAACAGATATGCCAGAAAAACTAATTTCTCTAGTGAACCAAAAAACAGAGGAGACACTAGAAAAGATGATTTCTCCAGCAAAATGGAGCAGGTGAGCCTCCGAACTAGCTGATTTCTCCGGCAAAATGGAATGGGTGCGCCGGTGAGAATGGGAGAAACTGCTATGCAGAGGTCGAACTTTTCCCGGAGAGGAAAGGGTGGAGTAGATGAAATTAACACGTTTTATACAAGGTAAATGACATTTTTACCCTTAAAAAAATAATCCAAAGGTACGTTTTATAAAAAATAGAATAGGGTTTATTTCATTCCCCCAAATCACCAGATCGTGAACATCTCCCTGTTTTGGCCACGAACACCCACACCTACCACGGTGCCAAACGCCCCGCGATGTGGCGGCAGTGCCGGCCGACAATCGTACCGCTTCGATTTGAGCGCTACCCGGTTTGCAAAGGAATCGTGTGCCACCATTCAGATTCACGATTCAGCCCGATATGTACGATTCAAGTGATTCCAGCAAGGCAGCAACGATTCAAAGGTTAAATCGATTCTGCCATACAATTTGTATCCTTGAGCCACAGAATCGAATCGTTAGTATTGCATCGTATCGTGAATCTTACGATACTAACTACACTGATTATAATTACAGCCACTAATTATGGTAATTTCACATTACAATCGGAAGGAAATAAGGAAAGAATATATACAAATCAATTAGTATCAAATCGCTATAAATACAGTGTCTAATATATTTCCCTAAAAAAGATATATTCTCCAACAATCCCCCCTCAAGCTAAAGCATACGAATCATATCCACCAAGCTTGCCACAAAGAGACTTTATTTGAGGACCTCAAAGAAATTTGGTGAGAATGTCTACTAATTGATCATTAGAACTAACAAACTCCAAAGCAATATCCTTGGACAACACCTTCTCCCTCATGAAATGGCAGTGAAACTCTATATGCTTAGTTTTTTCATGAAAGACTGGATTCTATACAATATGGCAAGCAACTTGGTTGTCACTATACAATTTCATTTGGTCAAAGTAGAAGTTCAACTCACAAAGTAACTATTACACCCATATGAGTTCACAAGTTACCATAGCCATAGCACAATATTCAGATTCAGCACATGATCAAGAAACTACTTGTTTTTTGCTCTTCCAAGATATGAGATTTCCTCCAAAAAATACGCAACTTTAGCTTCCAAACCAAGAAAGTACTTTAGCTTCCCCAAGTCTTTGGTTTGAAAGTGATTACACAAATGTTTCTTCAACTGAGATACTTCATCATGATCATCACCTGTAATGACTATATCATCCACACAAACAATCAAATAAATACATTTATCTATAGAATTATGTCAATAAAAGTCTAAATGAACAACTGCACTCTACTTCATGCCAAACTTCTGTACTACTGTGCTAAACTTTCCAAATCAAACTCGTAAAGATTGTTTTAGGCTAGAAAGAGATTGCTTCAACTTGCAAACCAAGCCAAACTCTCCCTAAGCAACAAAACCAGGTAGTTGCTCCATATATATTTCTTCATCAAGATTACTTCCTAAGAATGCATTCTTGATGTCTAGTTGATGCAATGGCCAATGTCTAATAGCTGCCATGGCAACCAGTCGAACTTTAAGATGATCAACATGTCCATCTGTATCAACTTTAACAACATACACCTATCCACAGCCAACAACTAGACAAACGACAAAGGTTGGAATGCACATAAACCAAATCCTTACCTTTTTTTGGATCTATTTTTTTTGTTCTCTTCAAAGAATGAATGAAACAATATGTACTCCAATTCCTCTCACAGCAAGATGAGGAACAAGGCTGTACAAGAAGCTTTAAGGCAAGCTTTTAAAGTAAAGGAGTAGAAGATCCACCAATTACTCCAATTCCTCTCACAAGATGAGGAACAAGACTGTGTAAGAAGCTTTAAGGCAAGCTTTTGAAGTTAAGGAGTAGAAGATCCACAAAGATTTTGGGTCCAATGTCCACCTATCTTTAACTGAATCAAAAGAAGTTAAGTCACCGGCACAAGATGAGATATTTGAGAATTCAACAAAAAGCTTCTTTCTTTTCTCAGCATTAGGAAAATATCTCTCTAGGCATTTGTTCCTTTCTCAACCCTATTTGGAGCTTCCCTAAGCCATTCTTCACTAGAATAACTATATATGATTAAAAGAATTGTCATACTATGACTTTTATTGTCCAAAAGGCAGCAACTAAAATAAAATTCACCTTGGGTTCAATGAATAGACCAAGCAATGAAGTGGAGTACAACTCTTGCTCCACCTAAAATTCAGTATATTATGAACCACATCATAAAAATTGGAAACCTCATCTACTTCTTTTTCCTCATGCCTATATATGATTGTCTTCACTTTTTTAATCATCGAAATCCACATTTCATAGACCACATGAAGAGTGGAAGCATCCATGTCACAATTTCTAAGCATGTAAATAGGACCTGTGAAAGAAAGAAAGAATATAGTCTAATTTATCCCATCATATATCACTTAAAACAAGTTCTTTCACATGCTCGTCTTTCCCAACATAATCTTCCCTATAACTATTCCATTGATCACTAAAGACCATATTTTGCAAAGCAAGTTTCAGCAACTTCAATCTTTGTAGCATAACCATTGATGCAAAACAGTATCAGCAACAAAAAGCAATTTAAGAGAATAAAACTCAATAAAATTTGCTAATCTCATAGAATGAGTCATTATGATAGTCTTGATAAACAATGTTTCATCAACTGTGATCCAATGACACTCCTTGAAACATTTTCATTACCATCAATACTTTTAGGTGCACATATGTTTTTCATTGCTAGATTCAAATTATGAACCACACGAAGGGTCCAAAACACATGATGAAACTCACCTTCAATTAACATCCCAACTAACTTACAAATGAGCACTTGAACAACATTTTTTGGCCCCACCTCATTAATTATATCCTTTATTATGCTGGCCATGTAGTATTTGTCCTTGTACTCTCCTTAGAACCATCAACAGCATTAAAAAATATTGGCCCTCCTTCAATTACAAGCATGAAATTTATCAACGGCCTTCTTTGAACATTAGTCCATTCATCAACAACTATTGTAACTTCTTTTATAAGCCATAAAGATTTTATAGGTTGGAGCAACCTTTCAATGTGAGATCTCCCTTGTTGTAAAAGACTAGTTCCTAAAGCACTAAAACTAAGAGGAAGGAAACCACAAAGATTATGGTTGGCAACAAATGAATAAGAGCTAACATAGTAAGAATTTCTAGCAAGATGAAATGACAAACCAACTGAATAAAACATTCTTGCTATCTTTGCTCTAAGTTGATTCCTTTCCTATACATTAAAAGCTTTTCCACTGTACCACTTTGTATTTTTCTTCTTTTTGGGATAAGGTTACTAGAACTGAAGGCAATTTGTCAGGAGGTAGTACGATATTTTAAAGTTTTACTTTATTCTCAACTTCTTCACAAATTCCTTTTAAATCAACCAAGTACTCAGCAGTGACTTTAGAACAAATAGAAACACCAACACCAGAAATTCTAAGTAAATGTCCTTTCACTCTTGAGAATGAACTTTTGACCACTTTGTTACAAAAATGACCACTCCATAACTTGTTGCCTCCTTCATTTGCTAGCTTATCCTTTATAATGACAAATAACCAAAGTAGAGCATGATCATCCTGAAGTTCTAATGAAGCAAATTTACTTGGAATTCTAAAATTAGACTCAACACCAAAACCTTTTTTGCTCAACAAACACAGCTGTTGAAAAATGCAAGAATAAGTAAAAATTAATATTCTACTATGTTGCTGTAAAATGAATGGAAAAAATAAAACTTAAAACTTAAGACCCTTACCAGTTAGTACAGTTGTAATAAAATGCTTAGAATAACAGTGTGCGAGGATAAAATTAGAAAAGAGGAACTTTGTGAGATTCAGAACCATCGCTGCATACGAAGACAACACTGGTTACTAGAGTGGAAGAATCTGAAGTCTAAAGAAGAGGTACTCTACGGGATTCAGATTTGCTGTTGTGTACGAAGACCTGTACTCACCAGCCATTGCCACCAACCTCTGACCCAAAAATGAACAACTTTTGCAAGATCCAAAACTGTCACTACATGCAAAAGCTTTAAGCCAATTTTGCAAGAGTCGACACCCAAGATAATCACAACTCCTATTTGTGTAAGAGGCCCTAGACATATGAGATGAGTGATGTTTCTAGTTGAAGACTTCTATGATGTCTCAAACAATTGGGGTCTTGGGGAAAAATTGAAACTCACCGTTTCAATATGAACTATGTTAAATGGATTAACCCAAGCTGTACCTAAATGTATTGAGCCATATCCTAGCCATATCAGGTCAGGAATTTATTTTCTAAAATAAAATAAAAAATTGGATAGCTTTTAGATATGTATCCGACAGGTATCAATATCGTATACGTGTCCGACACAGATAATTTAGCAAAATTACCATATCTGGGCTTCATCGATTAACACAAATGGGTTATAATTCTTATAAAAGCTTTTTTGTGCGAAAATCACAATTCTATATTTTAGTCACAATAGGCATACAAGAAAATGAGGTGTTAAACAAAATACTTTTACACTTCCCACGTTAACATGCTAACCAAAATACAACACATACCAAGTTATCCATCATCAATAAGGCACGCTCCTTAGTTCGGGTACGGGATGACTCCCAACGTATACGCAAAATATCACTTAAACACCGTATCTAAAACAGGAAAGAGAAAATTATCAGCCTCATATAATCCTTTACATCATTATTGTACAGAAAACCTCATTTTAAAACACGTAGATTTTTGTCTACTTACAGTGAAGTAAAACAAATGCTGGGAATCAATTGCCTCAATGTAAGGAGCCATATCCCACCCTGAAATCAAGTCACAAGCCAGCAATTGAGTGAACTGTTTACTGGCTCATAGGGATTTTGTCTTTCCCCCTTTCAGAAAATAAGTGGATTTTAAAATACAATTAAAAAATAGCTCTAATTAAAAGGAGAAAAATAGGGAAATAGACCCCTCAATGGTAAAGCCCTTAAAATAGTCAAATGAATTTTGAAACATTAATTGAAAATACAATTGCACATTTTCAACAGTAACCTAGGATTAGGAGAACAGTAGTTGAGTATGTGAGCATAGGTGAACCTAAATCTCTATTGAATCGATCCAATTCCAATTTACTTTCTTCACTTATTCAAACTTAGCTGAGCAACATATATAGGCTATGAGATCGCTTTATCACGTAGCAGAGGTAGTTTCAAAATTGGAATATCAGAAATGATGCAAACCAGTAAAAATAAACAAGGAAAAGAGGAAAAGAAAGCAGATATTACTTGATATAAAAAGGAAAAAATCAGTAGAATGAGTAGTACTGCCCAGAGCTATGCTCCTACGGAGAGCTAATGCCCTCCCTCCATAACTAATTTCTTAATTTTCAGACAAGATACCCTCTCACATACCAATCCCACTACTATAACAGACTCCCTCCTTAGCCACTTACTCTCTCTCTGCCACATCACCCTCTTTGCCTATACATTTCTTCTTTCTTCTAGTGTAAACCCTCCATAATGTGGGCTCTGCCCCATTTGAGCCCTAACAAGAAATGGGATTTATACGTAAGTATGCACATGCTATACATATCATAAACAGATGTATAAATTCAGGCAACTTACGCTGCAACTCATCATGTCGGGAGCTCTTCTCAATTAGAGTGCAATATGCCAGAATCACAGCTTGTTGTGTTGCTGACAAACTGGGAGTATCACAGGCACCATTTTCCTTGGCTTGTGTTCTAGTATTAGAGTCATCCACATTGTCTAACAACTTTGGTATTCTAAGTATGTCTGATGCTTCAGAGGTTTCACATTGATGCAGATGCCAGTTATATTCACCATTGTTGGAATCATGTGTTTGGATGCCAGCACCCATTACGCGGCAGTTATCCGCATTATTTGATGAACTTGTGTTGGTAACAAGTACCATCTGTGCCTTTGGTTCTGCCTATGTCCAAGAATTACATATTAAAAGATAAGTTTCATGAAACAAGTTGTCATGCAGTTTACAAGTGTTTACCTGATGTACAGTACGGAAACCAAGTACCCCAGTGACTGAAAGCTGAAGCCCAGCTGCCAACTCAGCTGACTCAAAATGTGTCCTGATATGGTAAGGTGCTTCATCATAAAAAGATACCACATAGAATCAAAAGTAGTAACAGGGGGAAATATGTAATTATGGTAATGCTATAAATAGGGAAGTTAATATGTTTCTAATTAAGTAATTAGGTAGCTGTATATTTCATTATTTAATTCATGTATTAATGATTTCTACTATAAATACATGTTCTGCTGTGTAGTTTACACTCACAGATTGATTCTATGTCTCTCATTCCTCTTCTTTCTCAACATGGTATCAAGGGCATAACGAGAGGCAACCCTATTCTATGATTACCTAGTGGGGTGCTCCCTACTCCAAAAATTTTTTGAAAATTGTACTCCTCTAGCTTTCGGATTTCCCCCTCTTTGCTCACTATTTGTCGCCACTGGTTATTGTTCTAGCAACTTTTCTGACAAACACCCTCGACCACATGCATCACCACCAAATTGGCCTATCCCCAAAGCATAGCAACAAATAAGGTCCTCACGCATGCACCAACCCTGGTGCGACTTAAGCGCAAATAATGTTTCCAACGCATAGTTTTAGACATCAAGGTGAGTCCTTACAGCTAATCAAGAAATAGGGAATGGGGATCTCAATCACGTTTAGTCACAACTTGTGTTCTAGGCAAAAAGTAAAATGCAATTCCAGCTGTTAAATTAATCAAACACATCTCATCAAGCCCATCAAGCCACCAAAAACTGGGAGAAGAAAGGCTATATGAACATGACAAGCCAAGCGTAATATCTAGTAATCATTTTTTACAGAACATAAATAAAAAGAGGAATGCAAAGATGTGCCAGTTTATGCAATGCATACACACATAACCCATGAATAGGGAAATACATCTTATACCCCAACCAACTCTCCCTTTCCTGGTGAAAAAGGTTTTAGTCTGTTTCAATTTCACTTTCTAAACTTAATTATGTAACAGATTGATTAACCATGAAAAATAAAGGAACCACCAAAAATAACATTACAAGTCCTGATTGATCCATGTATAAGTGATCCATGCATCACAACAACAACAATGTGTAAACAAAAAAAAAAAAGGCACTAATACAGACTGAAATAAACCAAGACAGGATAGCAATTTTGAAGCATACTATCACACAAATATTGGTTCATAGTTTACAGTAACTGACCTGCAAGAGTCAACTCGTCCATAAACATATTCCATAATGCCAGCCTCTACATGAAGCATAGAAACAATCGTCAAGCTCTCTCCATCACGTAAATCAGCATCCCAGTAACTCTGAACTTGTTCCGAAGTGTCAAATTTCCGTAAAGCTTCCCCCATATAGACTTGCAAGAGATCAAACAAAGAAGAAGACCGCTCATCCAAAATTCTCTGTTGAAGAAGCAAAACCCTCGCAAGCCACCAAGAAAGGCTTCTAATCTCAATTGATAAATCTTTCATCCGCACAAGTAACATCTTGGCAAAAACTATATACTAGAAAAGAAAGGAACAACGTGTAATTATAAGGAGCAAAATACTTGAGTTGTTAAGTATTAAGAGTCTGTTTGGGTAAACAGCTTAATTAAATAAATTTTTTCACATGATGGCTTATGTCATGAACTTGATCATAAAACTTATTCTTATAAACTATACCAATAAGTTTGTTGAGATAAGTTTAAAAAGGCCCGAAGCTATTTCCATAAGGTTTGTCCATAAGCTCTTTCAAACGCTATCTAAATGCAAGACTCAAGTACCTGAAGATTCGAGAACTTTCCAAGCAAGTCGGAACCAGCAGACATAAGCTGATTGCGCGCCCAATTGTCCCATTCTACGCGTTCGTCACCACCATCCACAGGCAAAGGACATCTCGGTAGCACCGACCCCTTCAAAGGCCTATAATAGAAACGGTTTCGTTTTGAGAGTAAAATAAAACAATAAACACAAAGAGTAAGTGTTATTCGAAATTTTACCCGGTGAAGTTACATTGAGTGAACCCTAGAAATGCAGCGACGGCGATGCACATGACGAGTATCGCCCTGCGAGCTTGTTCGCCGGCGTTAGGGGAAGCATCTCCGATAAAGGACTCGGCGCGGTCAACCAACTCGGAGTAGAAGCGCTCGGCGGTGTCGAGGGGCGGCGAGTCATGGCCGAGTCGGAAAACGAGTGAGGAAGAGGGTTGGGAGGTGAGTGCTTCCACGTAGTTGCCACACTCGATGGAATTCAAGAGGTCCTTGATGAGGCCATCCAACGGTTCACGTTCATGACTGGGATCCGACGGCGGCGAAGGATTGAGGGTGCAGCGAATGAGACGGAGCTCGTAGCCACGGTTGGCCACAACCTCAGGTTGAAGGCTACACATTTTCTGCACTCTCCTAAGCTTCCCACCACAATCTCGCTTCAGGGTTTAGGGTTTTTGACTCTTTTTTTTTTTTTTCAGCTGAATTTCGGTTTTGTTAATTAAGCAGCGGTTTAGTAATTCAATTTAAAATATTGATTTCTTTTTTTGTATTCACACCCTTGAGTCCCCTACTATCCACAGTGACAAATTGAAAAAGAGTAACTCTATTAATGTTTTACCTATTAAAAAAATATTTATAATATAAGTAATGATTATTTTAAAATTGTTATTTGTTTATAATATTTCTCTGTGCTAATCATAAACACTGATATATTTTAAATATTTAGGTGATAAAAAAATAATAACTAATAAAAATGTAAACAACTCAAAAAATTTATAACAAATCAAATAAAATAAATACGAGGTGGAATAAATAAATAATATACTAAAAAAAAGTAAAAGTAAAAATATGTGAAGTAAATTTGATAACTTCTTACCCTTTTTTATTATAACTTTTTTAGAATAAATAAATTTATTCATCAGTTTTAATCGAGGAAAACTATTCATGAAAAATAAATGCAAACATTGCATTAAAATTATATAAGTTAAAGAAAAATAAATAAAATAAATTAGAATATAAAATACAAATAAAATTATGTAAAATTTCATAGAGAAAATTAAATAGTTTTGAGAAAAAATAAAATACATAATGTGAAATTAAATAAAATTAAATTGAATTAAATTAAATGATATGAAAATAAAATGAAAGAGTCTCAGGTAAAATTAAATGTTCGTAGAAATATTTTTAAAATTTTTACTTCCTTTTATGCAATAAAAAGTTATATTTTTTTCTTTTTCAAAAATGTGTTTAAAAATTTAATAAAGTTTATCTCTTTTACAATATCTCATTTATTTTTATCTTATCAACTCTTATTACTTTCTTTTTTAGTTACTTTTTCTAAATTTAAATTTTGCAAATGCATGTTCATCACAAGTTTTAATACTTTTGATAAATATTATTCAATAACAAAATAAAAGTACTATGAAAGTTAAAGTATATTTAAATATGTGTAAAACTTAAAATAAGAAATAAAATATTATATGCATTTATAAATTTATATATTAAATAAAAAAATTATTTTTCTATTTCATAACATGTTCATAAAATAAATTTATGTTAAACTTTAATAAAATAATCATATTTTGAATATATATTCTTTGATATTAAATTTATTTAAAAAATTTAGTTAAAATTTCTAAGTAAATTTTAATTATATAAAAGGTTACATACTTAATTAATACATTATAAGTAAAAATGATAAGATAATTAAAATATATATTATATTTATTAAATACAATGCATGGTCAATTTATAATATTCTAATAAATTAAATTTATGCTGTAATGTGTGCATTTTTATTTTTATTTTTTGTTAATGTAATGTGTGCATTTCTAAATTTCAATTATATAAATGTAATATTCTTAACTAACATATTAAAAATAATAATTATAAGATAATTGAGGTATATGTTTCATTTATTTAATACAACATACAACATTTAATATAAATGTGTGGTTAATTTATAATATGCTGATAAGTTAAATTTATTTTATAATGTGTGCGTTACTTAACATTAAAATTATAGTAGGATAATACAAAAGAGGAATAAAATTAAGTATTAAAACTAAATAAGAATAAATCATGAAAATAAGATAATTTTAATTCAAAAATAAATTATAAAAAAGTTAATACTCAAAATTTTAATTAAAATTAATTAATAAAAAATTAAAAACATTTTATTAATGTATATAAAAGTTGAATAAGTAAAAGTTTATTAATCTAAAATTTTGATGTACATAAGATGCGACGAGTAAGTCACAGGTGTCAATGAGTAACAATTGAAAAGGTGACATACTCATGAAATTTGAATACTCATCTAATTTTAGTGTGTGAGGTGGGCCCAATATGTAGAGTGTTTGGTAACATTAATTGAAATTTTAATCTTCAATTCATTACCATACATTCTGCAGCCTCAGGACAACATGAGAGAAAATCACAATTTTCTTGCCACAAAGAATGAATCGACGTTTGCTTTGAGATTTGAGAGAATGTGGCACTTCAACAAAATCCACTTGAGTGTGGCTCTGTTTGCTATTACTACCTTGGTGCTGTTCCTTGGTCTTCATTCATCACAGGGTCACAAAAAAGTGTCTACATTTCACCTCTCAACCCCACCTTTCCCTTTGATTCATCAGTGGCTTTCCCCATACAGAGTATGCATTTTTAATCATTCAATTACATCGTCTTTCGTTTGTGTTTTGTTCTTTCAAACCAATTCTCGTGATTATGTGCAATTTTGATTTTTGCTTTGTGTCAGTGCAGGCGAATAATGGAGAATTGAGTTTTGTCAGCAAATTGTTCATTAAAGAAAAAATCAAAGGAGAAAGAAATTTGGAGAAAGTTGAAGCAAGTCTTGCCAACGCAAGAGCCCTCATAAAAGAAGCCTCTTTGAGAACCAATGCTGTTGTTCCTCTTGAACACTCTGATTATGTTCCCCAAGGAGACATTTACAGAAACGCCTTTGCTTTTCATAGGTATCAACTGATAATAAAAATAAAATAAATTTGATGATTTAATTTTTTTTAATTCAGTTTTAACTTGTTTTTATTCAATTTAATTCTTTAACATTTATTTTCTCTTGTTATAATATCGTTAAATCGATAAAATTTTAGATGTTTTTAAATGATTGTTAAAATTGATTGGGAGATTCTTATAAACATGGTATTACTAGGTGTACATAAAAAATTTGAATTATTTTTTTAGTTAAAATAAGAGATTCATGAAGCATGAAGATTAGTCATCGTTCTCATCAAACTCTGATTTTTGGATACCATTTCTTTTATTTTTTTCAAATAATTACTGAAATTGATTGAGGACTTCTTCAAGAAACAGAAATGCAACTCACATATTAAAATTTTGAATGATTCTATTGAGTAAAATGAGAGCTTGAAGCAAGTTGTTCTTCAAGACCCATTTTAAGTTTACTAATGAAATTTACATATTTTTAACAATTATTTTATTTAGGAATTAACTCATTATTAACCTAGAATCTCTGTAATTATATTCTGTGGCCTATTATACATAAAGAATTAGATGAGCCAAAAAGACCCAATTTTAAAATAATGTTATTTATCAATGTTACAACAAAAGGATTGATTTGAAACAAAATTAAAAGTTGTTGACAAAATAATAAAAAGTTGAACATTTTCATAGCATGTCAACTATTGTAGAGAAAAAGGTACAATAACAATAATTTCACATTACTCATACACCTTCTAATTATAAAACAGTAGAGAGAGAACCTTAATCCTTGTCAATAATAATAATCTATTGCTTCTTAGAAAGCTTTAAACTGACATATAAATCTGTTTCTAAATTTTTTACATTAATTTTATGAAAATGAACCTCAATAGACTCTGGCAATAATAGTTTATATAAATAGGGGTAGCTTCTTACATGTGAATCTTCATATTTCAGATTTTGAATTGCTTTAATATGATATAGGAGTTACCAATTAATGGAGAAGGTATTTAAAATCTTTGTTTATGAAGAGGGAGAGCCACCTCTATTTCATTATGGGCCATGCAAGAACATATATTCCATGGAAGGAATCTTCATCAACTTGTTGGAAAGCAATACATTGTTTCGTACTCAGAATCCAGATGAAGCTCATGTCTACTTTCTTCCATTCAGTGTTGTGATGATCCTTCAACACCTCTTTCACCCAGTTACTCGTGACAAAGCTGTATTGGGAAGAACTATTGGTGATTATGTTCACATCATATCCCACAAATATGAATATTGGAATAGAAGTTATGGAGCTGATCATTTCATGCTTTCTTGCCATGATTGGGTAATTACTCTCTCTCTCTCTCTCTCTCTCTCTCTCTATATATATATATATATATATATATATATATATATATATATATATATATATTTTCTCCATATATATATATTTTCTCTCCTCTAAATAGAGTGCATTGATTCAAGGTTAATTAAATTGTCATTGGATAAATATATATACAATTATCAAAAACAAATATATTAATTTTAGGTGCATTTATGCAAGGATTTTATTTAAATATTATTCAATGAACTTTTATAATTTTAATTAGAATTAAAATTATAAATTTGATTAAAAGAGGATAAATTATACTAAAAAAATTATTGAAATATGTTAAAACAAACTTATAATAGTTATAAAATATTTTTATTTTTCTATGAACTCTTTCAAATGTCTCATTATCTTTCTATAAACCCTATTGATAATTCTTTTAAAACATTTAATAAAAAATAAATGCAGTAAATACTTTGAAAAAAAATTTAAAAAAATATTTTTTTCTTTAATTATTAGGAGATAAAAATATAAGATGGTGTAAACTATTCAGTGAGATTTGACTAATATTTGTTTGTGTTTCACAGGGACCAAGAGCAACATGGTATGTTAAGGAATTATATTTTATTGCAATTAGGGTATTATGCAATGCAAATACCTCTGAGCATTTCAATCCGAAGAAGGATGCATCATTTCCTGAAATAAACTTGGTAGAAGGAGACACAACAGGTCTTATTGGTGGCTACCCTACAATGAACCGAACAGTTTTGGCTTTCTTTTCAGGCCATATGCATGGTAGAATAAGATCAGTGCTTTTCCAGTATTGGGAGAACAAAGACAAAGATGTTCTAGTTTTTGAGACTCTCCCAAATGGAATTTCATACCTTGAGACCATGAAGAAGGCTAAATACTGCATTTGTCCAAGTGGGTATGAAGTTGCAAGTCCAAGAATTGTTGAGGCAATCTATGCACAGTGCGTACCTGTGATAATATCACAACAATATGTTCTTCCTTTTAGTGATGTTCTTAACTGGGATTCTTTCTCAGTTCAGATTTTAGTGAGTGAAATACCCAATCTTAAGGAGATTTTGTTGGGTATATCAGAGGACAAATACATGAAATTGCAAGAGGGAGTTAAGCAAGTGCAAAGACATTTTGTGGTTAACAATCCTCCCAAGAGATATGATGTATTCCATATGATTATTCATTCCATTTGGCTTAGGAGGTTGAATGTGCGTGTGAAATAACTCATCATCTTCATTGTTATTTCTCTCTCTCTCTCTCTCTCTCTCTCTCTCTCTCTCTCTCTATATATATATATATATATATATATATATATATGATAAACACACACTAGAACATTTTGATCTGTACCTTCATCGATCAATTCCTGTTTCTGATCATATTCTATCAACAAACATATGCCACTTTTAACATAAAGATCACAAAAATTTAAAACAATCCAGCATATGTCAAAGTTGATATATATTTAACCAAGTATCTTTTTCTTTCAGCTCTGATTTTCAGGCATCTCATCTTCACGGAGCCAATAAACAAATTAAATCAGTTTTGCTATCTAGTAATGAGTTTTAAGTAAATATTATATTGACATATATTAAAGAATATGAAAATGATTGTATTTTTATGTTGTTAATAATATTTTTATTTTGAGTAAGACTAGGAGTTCTTTTTATTAGCAAAAAGAAGATAAAAAGTCATAAAATCTTATGCTACGTCCCTTGATTGCGAAGAATATTTTAGAGGTTGATTAGGAAGAAGGATTTTAAAGAAAAAGAATGGAAGGATAATTTTTTAATTTAAATAAATAAATTTAATTTTAATATTTATTATAAAATAAACTATATAGAATGATATGTTAGTATGAATTTAATATATATAAATTATTTATTATTAATTTTTTTTATTTTTCATTTAGTTTAATTTAAATCCGACTTAAGTCGCACCCCTAAATGTGGTGAATGAGTTTACTACTGAAATTTTTTTACATATACAAAAACTCAAACTTGAGATCTTACTTAAGTAATATCGAATTACTTGCTACTCAACAATTTCTGTTGACAATTTATTATTAATTATTTAACTAACTCTTTTTATAAAAAAAGTTTATGTTATAAATTTGACTAAAGTTTTTTTAAAAATAAGTTGTGAAAAAACTTATTCCTCTGTATTATATTTTTACTTTCTAACATTAACATACACAAAATCACATAAGTACAAAACTTTAATTGATATTCACATTTTTTAAAAGAAAAAACTTACCTTATATCAATGAGATTTAGAACATGTTTGTTAAAAATATTTTATTTTATTTTTAAAAAAATTTATAAATTTATATTATTTTATTTTTAAAAATAAAAAAGTATTTAAAATAAAAATTAAATATAATCTTATTTCTTCCATGCATATTGAAAATAAAAAAGGAGAAATATAATATCTTTATTTCTAATAAATATACTCTTATTTAGTAATTTTTAAAAATAAGATAATAAGTTAACATAAATTAAATGTTTTAGCTTTTATATATTATTATAAATATTACATAACTTTCTAAATTTAAAATGAAAAAAATTATTCCCCCTTTTTTCCTTAAAAACTTGGTTTTGAATCATATCCTCAGTAGTTCATGGTAGGCATGAATATAAATTTTTGGAACATAATCAAAATGATAATTTCGAACCCAAGTTTATGAATACGTAAGGTGAATTTGTTGGTCATCACCAATCACTGTGGCCCAATTTGAGGAAAACATGGATCTTGGATCTTGGCCCAAAATTAGCTTTTCTTCAATTTCAATATATTTACATGCCCAATGTATGGATTGTTAGTTTCTTTTTACCAAAATACACATGGCTAAGTTTGTATTATTAAAAAAGAGAGACTTGACTTTCATGCATTGGTTTCATTCATCACATATTTTTACAATCCCATTTTTCCATTTTGAAATATACTAATGTGTGAGTTCCATTATAATAAAAAAACCGATATGTTGAACTAAATTTATTAAATAAAACAATGGAAGTTCAATATATTAGAAAATAATTTTATACCAGCAACAAGTAGAGAAATTACATTTAATCTTTTTTAAGCTATTATGGATGACCAAATTTCTCTACAAGAACTAATGATTAAGCTGATATAATTTCATACATGTTACTTTATACGCTCTACATATTAGATTGTTTTTTGAACAAGATCCATGCATCTTCTCTGTATAAAAGTACAATTTAAATTATCTTTCTCACATCCCGTTGATTTGCAAACCTGCGTATAACGTGTGGTTAGAAAAATTCAACAACAATTGTGATTGTCTTTATTTGGAATTTCAAATGAAATTTTTCATTATTAGAGCAAAAATTCTATGGACCAGGGTTAAGTCAAAGTTTTATGGATCAAAATAATTTATTTATTCTTAGAAAATTTAAATTTTAAAGAATTTGATATATATTACAATAATTATTAAAGTATCTATCAAAAATATTTATTTCATATGACATTTTTTTTATAAACCTGTAGACCAATAAAAAAGATAAAAAAAAATAAAACATTTATAATATTAAATATTTATAATAATTATTTTATTGAATAATATTAATGAAAATATAATTATTTATTATTAAATTATTTTATATATTTTTCTAATTTTTATTTGTGTTACTAATAATTATTAAATAATTATAACAATTTTTACATAATTTTATAAATAATTTTTAAAATATTATTTGAGCATTAACTATAAATATTTTCATATTATAAAATTTTTATATTTATATTTTTCTTGATTTATTTTTATAAAATTATTAAAATATTAAAAATTTTAATTTTTTTTTGTGAAGATCATATTTTATTTGTGTAGGTCTTATATTCCATAAATAAAGTCACAAAAATATATAAAATTAATAACAAAAAATAACACTCACAAAATTTGTTGAATCAACTAAATAAAAATTATTATATTAAAAAAAAGTAAATAAATATCATCATTGTAGAAATTATAAACATAAAATACTTTATATTATAAAATTCATTGATAAAAAAAATAACATATTAGCATAGTAAAAATTAACGAATATTTGCATATTTAACTTTTGCCTCATCTTAATTAAATAGAATCTATATTTAAATTAAAATAAATTATATTTCTAAAATTTTATCTTAATAGAAAATTTATGATAAAACTTAATATAAAAATTTAAACTAAATATAATATATATAAAACAATAATAATAACTATTAAATTAAAAGGAAATTAAAATGATTATAAAATATTTAATTTTATTTGTTTCATTTGTTATTTTAAATCAACAAATATATGTAAAATTAAATATACTATAACATTAAAGTAATATAGAAAAATATTATTGATACAATAAATTAAAACATATACTTATATATTATATATAAATTAATAAATTCACTAATAATTTAATTTTTTTATTTATAATTTTTTATTGATTTATGTAAATATTTACTAATTATTAAATTTTAATATATTAATAACTATATTTTTTTAATAAAAAATCTATCTACATTTATATAAAATTCATTAAAAATAATCATTTAAAATTATACATATTTATATTTATATTCAAAATAAACCTAAACTGAATCCATAATTATTGAAAGTTATTAAATAATATCAAAGCATATGAGAATTGATTAAATTTATTAAAATAATTATTAAATAGTATTTTATAAAATACTATTTTATCAATTAATTATTATTTAGTAAAAATATTTATTACTAATTTTTAATTAAAATTATAAATTATTAATGTAACATCCATCTTTTTATAAATTAAAATTACATGGTTATAATAAATATGTATGTAAGGGTATGTTGGGAGAGTTTTTGAAGTGTTAAACTTTAAGTTTCTTGCTGTAGCGAGAATGAGGCGATGAAAATGGAACATTCTGAAGTATTCTCGCTGTAGCGAGAAGTCCCTCGTTACCGCAAAAAGTGCAGAAAATATAATACAATTTATGTCTGATATTTTCACTGTGGCGAGAGAAAGTCTCGCTATAGCGACAGTCTTTCGCTGTAACAAGAATATTGTGATTCTGAGAATATTTAAGAGTTTTCATGCATGAAATTTCATTTTTATCTTCCCTGACGTCCCACTTTCATTTTCTCTGAATCCTCTTTATATTTATCATTCGTTTAATCGAGTTTTTACCGTTCGTTTTCTTTGAATCTCATTCCTAAGAGATAAATTCGTGTTACCTAGGTAGAAGTGCTATTTTAAGGTAAGGGAAGCTATATTCTATTATTATATGATGTGAGTTATATATGTTGAGTTCATGAGAGCATGTTTATGTACTAATTTTGATGATATATGTGTGAGTAATGAGTATTAATGAAGAAAGATCGCTAATATGTATATATTTGATGGTTTGGTTGATTGATTCTACTATGAAAATATGAAATATATGATAAAAAAGTATAATATTATAGTTGACCAAATTTGATGAATATATTGGGTGTGATATGAACTTATTGCTGAGTTACGCTTGAAAATGATAAATGAGTTATCGATGATTTATTGAATGATGCGATTGTTGAGATCATGAGTAAGTGATGAGCAATATGGAATTAGTTAGAAGTGCTATTAAGCATGATCTTATGAATGGATTGGTGTGAATAGTATAGAGATACACTTGAGGTATAGAGTTCAGAAACGATGAGAAAATCTTGGAGAAATATAGAGTAATGAGCGATAGTGGCGATTGTACACATATTATTGTTGAGTGCTGACATGATATAGATGATTAGATTCATGTCCTCAGTATGTGAAACTGAATATGAATTGCTGTAAATCTTGATATATTTTAGATAATGATATGTAAATATTAATTTGTAATATATTTCATATAAATACCTTCTTAAATTTGTTTTGTATACGAATTAACTGTGATGAAAGGTTTTATTGTTATAAATTTGATTAATGGTTATACGAAAAAGTTGGTCATTTAAACCGAAGAAATTAGGGTGTTACAATTAACGTACCATATTAAATTTAATTAAAAAATTAATCAAATATAAAAGCTAAATTTAATTTAATTTAATAATATTTTTTACTTTTAAATTAATTTTTATATTTAAAATATAATTTTTAATTTATTTAAATAAAATAATTTAATAAGATTATAAATAATTAATATAATAGTTATTAATTACTTTTACAAATAAGTAGACTGACCCACCCCCTAACCCTGACCTAACCTATCA